TTATGACCCCTTTTTTATTTTCTGACGCTAATCAGATGACGAAGAAGATCAAGAAGCTTGAGAAGGAGACCACGCTATGGAGGACCAAATGGGAGACCAACAACCAGACTCTACTGCAGATGGCAGAAGAGGTGAGAGGAATGTTAGAGCAGTTGTGTTTTTAAAGCATGCATAAATTCATATTTCTAAATTCAAGCTAGAACTGTGAGGAATTTATGTTGTAGAGCAATGTACATTTACATAATAAAAGTGAAGAAAGTCACAACAATGTTTTTTAGATACTATAGTAGTTTTATTAAAATAAGAATCCGTTTTTATTTTTAGATTCTGTTTTCATTTTTGTTAAAAGTTTTAGTATTTTTGTTTATATAGTTTCTATACATTATTTCAGTTTTAGTTATAATAGATCAATTTAAACCAATGAGAAATGTTGCCTTGCAACAAGCTAAAATAGGTTTTTACATTTTATTTCAGTTAATGTATTTTATTTCAAGTAACATTTTTTCGCCCAACTGTAGCACATATCGTTAATCATTATAAAGTTTGGTGAGTGTGTGCAGGCAGCTCAGCTTTTGTTGAGGCAAAGTCCAATATAAATGTCTTATAAATAAGAGATGGGTCAAGACATAGATATACACTACTGTTCAAAAGGTTAATATGGTTTTTTTATGTTTTTGAAAGATGTCTCTTCTGATCACTAAGGCTGCGTTTATTTGATCAAAAATACAGTAAGAACAGGGATATTGTGAAATTATTACACTTTAAAAGAACTGTTCTATTTTAAAATGTAATTTATTCCTGTGATGCAAAGCTGAATTTTCAGCATCATTACTATAGTCTTCAGTGTCACATGATCCTTCAGAAATCATTCTAATCTGATGATTTGCCATTCAAGAAACATTTCTTATTATCATGTTCAAAATAGTTGCAAACTGTGATACGTTTTTTCAGAATTGTTTGATGAAAAGGAAGTTCAAAAGAACAGCATTTATGTAAAAAGAAGTCTTGTAACATTATAAGTGTCTTCACTGTCGCCTTTGATCAATTTAATGCATCCTTGCTGTATAAAAAGTATTGTTTTCTTTCAAGAAAAATCATACTGACCTCAAACTTTTGAGTATTTCAAATTTCAATCTGTTTTTAAAGTTGCTCTTCCTGTTTGTCTCTTAGAAAACGGTGCGAGACAAGAATTACAAGGCCCTCCAAGGGAAACTGGAGCGTCTGGAGAAGCTTTGCAGGGCCCTCCAGAGAGAACGCAACGACCTGAACCTAAAACTGCAGGCCCTTCAGGACCCAGCGAAAGATCCGGAGGAAGAAGGTACGGGGCCTCCTGACCCTCAGCCGCAGGTGCTTAACCCAGAGATGGAGAGAGAGGTGGAGGGAGAGATGGAGGGTTTGGTGCCTCAAACAGAGAAACTCAGGCTTCAGCCTGAGGAAGAGGGCACCATATCATCCACACAACTCACTGACGAATGATCCTGGCCTTCTGGTGGCCTTTCTTTTCATTTCTTTTTGTGGAGGTATATATTTTTGTCTTAACTATTATCATAAAAAAAATTAGTGGGGAAAAAGCAGGACATTAGTGAAGACGCTAACTACTCTATACGTTGGTAATCCGCTTTGTGAAAAGCACTTTTTACTCCCTGTTTTCTATCACATTGTATTTTCGTAGGAAATGATCATGTGGTCCAAGACGGCCGCCATGCAGCTTTGTTTCGTACGTTTATTTTCTTTTTCCTTCCCCCTGTTCTCTGCTCAGCTGTGCTGTGCTTGCACGCTTTTACGTTCCTCTTGCATAAAATGTAGCTCTTCGCTCTGACCTCTAGAATCTGAATAAATCATTTTGGATGCGTATAATGTTAAATATTGCCATTTTAAAATAGTCAACAAGCCAGTCCAGCTCTAGATGACCAGATAACCTTGAGACTTGAGAAACGGGGCATTAATAACAGGGGGAGATACATTAACACACTCAACTACTCATTGGCACTTTGAGTCTGAACCAAGACGGGTCCATGACAAGTCACGCTTCTGTTGCTTTGATTGAAATGGACTTTAAAGGAAGATACATGTCTTCTAAATAGGAGAGGGGTCAAGACTCCTCTCCGCCTGGGACTGGTTTTCTAATGGGACTCTGATTAAGGGCTAGTTTGACTTTGAAAAAGGCTGCTACATTTCCAACAATTATGTGAAATCCTAAGACAGGGTCGAAGAGTCTCGCTCCGCTGAAGTTTCAGAACTTTCTACGGGGAGGACTTTTTTTGTTGCATGACAGACGAAGAGAAAGCATCTTAACCAGCAGAAAAAAAAACTCCGCACTTATAATAAAATTCCACATGCATTTATATTTCATTAAAATTCACTTCTCAAGCCCTTTTATTTAAGAGACAGGGTAGTTGTTTTTGTTGAATCTGGGTTTCCAAGCCAGTCAACCGTGGGATTAGATAACTGAAGCTGATAAAACTGTAAAATCAATCTGCTTTTTTACCAAAATCATGTAATTGACTGTCATTAAAAAAAAATATATTTGAATATATTTCCTAATTTACTATGAACTCTCCTTAATATTTTTTAATAAGGAGGACATAAAGTTTGCTATTAGGGTGAGATGACCTTTGTTTGATATGCTTTATTGCCTTGATGATGCTGTTAATTAGTCCTGATGACCGCTTGTTTGTGTGTTTTTTCTCTTCTCTTCTTTAAATGGTATTTCACCCAAATATATCGCTCCATGTCGTTCCAAACCTGCGTGTCTTTTTTTCTTCTGTGGAGCACAAAAGAAGATATCTCAAATAGTTTTTGTCTAAAAAAACAACATTGGACCCCATTGACATTCATAGTATGGACAAATATTTTTAAATACCTTCTATGTCATAGAGGTTTGGAGCAACATGAACCTGAGTAAATTACCATTTTTTTATTTTTGAGGTGAACTATTCCTTTAACTGTAAAAAAATTTTTTTTTTTTTGTTTGGAGAGGTTGCATTATTTTTGCTCTTTAACTGGACACAAAACTGACAAAAAATTTTCAAAGGGGCCTGGACATGTTTGATACTGGATATGCTGAATGTGATTTCTCTTTCTTTTTTTGGACTTTGTAATGAACAAGAATAAAATGTCTGTAATTCAGTGCTAAAATGTTCTGAAGAGCTGCAAACATTCTCAATACTGCTAATGTGAAACCATGTCAAGAACTGAACTGATGAATGTAGAAGCTGCCAAATCCATGTCTAAACAAACGGCCTCAAAGCCTTTAAGATCTGGTCATTATCAGGCTGTGGGGACACAGGGTCTAGAAACGCTTGCCTCCTCAGGTCCATGACAACATCTGGCTCTGTTCATGTCCTGATCTGAACCTCTGACACTGGCCAGTACATTCCTCAATGCTGAATCCAACGAAACACATCCAAGGTTTTCATTTAACACGCACTGAACATGATCATCTACTTTGATTAGTTTTACTAACATTAATCATGTTTTGTAATGACATGTGCAGAAGGACAAGGTTTTGCTGTTCATTAGAAACATGGGCTGAATGTGTTTAAATTAGCCAAACTGTAAAACTCAACAGAATGGAAAGGTAGATCTTCACCAGCTTTTTTCTTTTTCTTTTCCAAATTTTGGATAGCAATGTTGATTTCTATAACATCGCAGCACTTGATTTCCTTGTAACAGTTTCACCACACTGTCAAATATTTTCTTGTCTGCAGAAGTGCACACTTGTTTTGATAAATACATCTGTAATTGGGATCATGTTAATTCTAAATTTGTTGGTACTGTCATTTGTATCGCTACTGCTTTTTTGGCAATGCCCCGGTTTGATTCTCAGGTTATGCAAGAAATCTACCTCTTCAGGTAAGACATACTGTGAAAGATGCTCAAGAGAGCTTTTCTTTCTCCCCTTGCTCAGCCCATGTCCCCTCTGAGATTGTACAACGCTCTTGTAGTTCTGTCTTGCTTTTCAATAAAAACATTTTGTAGAATTTTCCTTACGGTGATGTATCTTGTTTCACTGCATCTTCACATGTCCAGATACAAAAAGTAGTGATGTAGCCGAACATTTTTTTTGAGGGCCGAAAATCATTGTGATGATTTTCACTGCATCTATTTCGTAGAGACAATGTGGATAATCAGGCAAACACATGTCAGCTGTGTGATGGATGATAGTGCTGGATTAACAATATCAATTTCTCGTTTTTAATTGATACTGATATGGATTCTTAAATCTCACAGTAAATCTTTTAGTCTGTGATGTTTTCTGTTGATGCGTTAACTTTACTTAACATTATTTTGTAGTGCCTTCATCGCAATAAGCTTTGTGCTAAGCTTTCAATTTTATTACGAAATACAAACAATAAAACTAGTTTTGTCGCTCTTTAATCTGGCGTCACCGATCGCTGTACTGTTTCAGTTCAAGAGGCAACCATTTATCTTGTCCTCTTTACTACTAGTTATAGCAGGAAATAAACATGAATGAGCATCAGAATGTATGTTGAAAGAAACAGAACAACTTACTGAAATGTATCATGTCTCGTGTAATCGCTCCATGAGTCTTTGACCCATAGAAAGACGTCAATAAAACAGCTTGTAAACTATGTCACATCACGTTTACCTCAGGAAAGACCTTCATTATTTAATGTTTAAATGTCATAAGTTTTTCATTACACCCATTTAAATGTCCATATTTCAACACTAAATTGTAGTAACAATTCTGTTATTAAAAAGTTGACAAAAACTGCAGTTTACATGTTTTTATTTTAGTGTTGATTATTTAATAAATTGGATAATTTAATACCTTTTTCTTTCTTTCAGTTTTTGGCTAAGTGCATCTTGAATTTTTGGTTTCCGATTATCATTTTCAGTGCATCACTAATAAGTACTATTTAAGGAAATTTAAAAACTTTATATAAGAGAAACAGAAAAAAAAATCTAACAGTTGATCTGTACTTTATTTTCACAAGTGAAGTACAGAGAGTTAACAATTTAGGAATACAAAATCATTTTAAAAGTTATTACAAAAGATTTATTGCAAATTGACACCAGGTTTATGCACAAAAACTAAAACTGTGATAAGCCACACCAGGCTGTAACTTCTCAGAAGTGATTGAAAAAGTGGTGCAGTGTTTCTCCAAACCATCTGAGGCCAAACTTCTAAGGGGTAAACCTTTTAGAAAAGTGTCTACAGAAGGACCCTGTGATGGATAAAGTATCTGGTATTTATGGAGTAGGAAGTAAGAGAATGGAATTTACTGAATAATACTGCAAAGCAAAAGCTAAGGAGTAGGAATTCATGAAAGGGTTGTAGATCTTTAATGAGATCAGTTACGACGCCTGCCCTTCCAGCTCTGACGCAGGGGTGTCCGGCTCTTCATCATTGTAGATGTTCTCAGCCTAGACAAGAGATGTTTAGTCTGAGATTATGACATTAATAATAAGTCCTAATATCAAAGTTGATCAAAAACTACAAATCAAATCACTTTATTAGTGACTTTCATTACCAAAGGAAGGTAAATCTTTAATGTTTTCGCTGAACTTACCATCTGCCATACTTGCATAATGTTGTCCTCTGACACAGAACAGATTACCCAAGGTTCATTTGGGTTCCAGGTGAAGTCAGAGATCTTAGCTGTGTGCCCACCATGAATGAACTGCCAAAACAATCAAAATGTTCTTACATTAGATGTCAGTTAAAAATATGCCAGAAATATCAGTAGGGATGTTAAGCACTGGAACTTTCTGGAACATAGCATTTCTACATGATCAGTTGAAAGACATTAATACTTTTATTCAGCAAGGACACACGGAAGTGACACTTACATTTATAATATAACAAAATATATTTTTATTTTAAATAAATGTTGTTCTTTTAAACTTGCTATTCATCGAAGAATTCTTTGTAAAAAATATACTACAAATTTACAAAAATATGAAGCAGCAAAACGGTTTTCAACATTGATAATAATAAAAAACATATTTCTTGAGCAGCAAATCAGCATATTAGAGTGATTTCTGAAGGATCATGTGACACTGAAGACCGGAGTAATGATGAAAATTCAGCTTTGCATCACAGGAATAACAGAAAACGGTTATTTTAAATTGTAATAATATTTCAAATTATTACCGTTTTCACTATTTTTTTGATCAAATAAATGCAGCCTTGGTGAGCATAAAAGTCCTCTTAAAAAAAAAAAAAAAAAATCAATTCACATATATATTAATTGTCATACAAACATTTAACCTTTTAAATAAAATACTTAGCATGTTCTTGCTTTGGTATTGAAATCGTTATTACGAGTCTATAGCTCTGTCTGTCAGATTTTTTTCAGCAAGTCCATCTTTACTCACCAGCAGCTCGGGTGGCCCGTCTTCTGCGTCCTCCGCAGACTGCTCTTCTCCGATTTTACTAGAGGACATACATGTAACAATGCAATCAACATATATGTTTAAGGCATCAGTGGATCTAAATATAGTTAGATGTTAACATTAACATCAGGAATGTGCATTAAGATTTTTTCAGGAATGAAAATCAACAGAATAGAGAGTAATAAAGTCTTACCTTAGATCCCAAACATTGAGGCGTCTGTCTGTGCCACTGGAAGCCAGGATGGTCTCGTTATGGGGAGACCACTGGACCTGTCAAGTGCATCAACATTATTATTGCAATAATCTGTTTGCATTTTTCTTGGATTAAATATTGTTACATTGTCTCAGAATCTTGAGTGTTATTCTTCGAGTGTTACCTGGAAGATTTCATCCTTGTGTGACTCAAAAGAGTGAAGCTTCAGCTTCAGGTTACGCAGATCCCACAATGCAACAGTCTACAGCCACAAACAAACACATCAAACCAGTGAGCGTCAAAACTGAAGCATATTTTTTTTTTTTTAAAGAAAACAAGCAGTTAGTAAATGAATAGAGTGCAAGTCTAAAAGGGACAATTTTATTTTTTTAAAGAATAGAATTAGAATAGAGAGTGCTAGAGTTAGAGGGTGAAATAAAGAGAATTGGAAGAGATGTGTTTTTAGCCGATTCTTGAAGATGGCTAAGGACTCAGCTGCTCGGATTGAGTTGGGCAGGTCATTCCACCAGGAGGGAACAGTTAATGTAAATGTCTGTGAAAGTGATTTTGTGCTTCTTTGGGATGCACAATAAAGCGACGTTCACTTGCAGAACGCAAGCTTCTAGAGGCACATAAGTCTGAAGTAATGAATTTAGGTAAAGGGATGCAGAGCCAGTGGTGGTTTTGTAGGCAAACATTAATGCCTTGAATTGTATGCGAGCAGCTACTGGTAGCCAGTGCAAACTGATAAACAGAGGTGTGACGTGCATTCTTTTCAGCTCATTAAAAATGAATCTTGCTGCCGCGTTCTGGATTAATTGTAAAGGTTTGATAGAAGTGGCTGGAAGACCTGCCAAGAGAGCATTGCAATAGTCCAACATTTTAAAATGTAATTTATTCCTGTGATGCCTGTGAGCTGAATTTTTAGCATCGTTACTCCAGTCTTCCGTGTCACATGATCCTTCAGAAATCCTTTGAATATGATGATATGCTGCTCAAGAAACATTTCTTCATATCAGTGTTGTAAACAGTTGTGCTGCTTAATATTTCTGTGCAAACTGTGATACATTTTGTTTTATGATTCTTTGACGAATAGAATGAAAAAAGCATTTATTTGAAATACAAATTTTGTAACAAATGTCTTCACTTCCACTTTATGAATTTCAGTCTTCTAACGGTCACTTGACATTAAACTGCAAAAAGACAAATGATTTAATTACACTGTTAATTATAATCTTTAGCAAATCTCAATTTATGTGCATATTTCGTACTGTACATTGTTGTGATGCCTAAACTCACTTTTAGCATTTAAAACAATTGATTTAAGTTTAATTTATTATTATTTTCATTTTATAATTATTTATGCAAAATAGCATCGTTCTTATCTGTAAGAATTGCAATGCTGTAGTATTTCTACATTTCACGTAATTCCAAATATAATGCTTTCGGACAATGAAGTGATCAATTCTGATTGTTTAAAAGACAGATAAAGTCGAGCGAATATGATCTTTTAGTTCTCTGTGTGGAAAGGCTTATTTTTTATGACCCCTTTTTTATTTTCTGACGCTAATCAGATGACGAAGAAGATCAAGAAGCTTGAGAAGGAGACCACGCTATGGAGGACCAAATGGGAGACCAACAACCAGACTCTACTGCAGATGGCAGAAGAGGTGAGAGGAATGTTAGAGCAGTTGTGTTTTTAAAGCATGCATAAATTCATATTTCTAAATTCAAGCTAGAACTGTGAGGAATTTATGTTGTAGAGCAATGTACATTTACATAATAAAAGTGAAGAAAGTCACAACAATGTTTTTTAGATACTATAGTAGTTTTATTAAAATAAGAATCCGTTTTTATTTTTAGATTCTGTTTTCATTTTTGTTAAAAGTTTTAGTATTTTTGTTTATATAGTTTCTATACATTATTTCAGTTTTAGTTATAATAGATCAATTTAAACCAATGAGAAATGTTGCCTTGCAACAAGCTAAAATAGGTTTTTACATTTTATTTCAGTTAATGTATTTTATTTCAAGTAACATTTTTTCGCCCAACTGTAGCACATATCGTTAATCATTATAAAGTTTGGTGAGTGTGTGCAGGCAGCTCAGCTTTTGTTGAGGCAAAGTCCAATATAAATGTCTTATAAATAAGAGATGGGTCAAGACATAGATATACACTACTGTTCAAAAGGTTAATATGGTTTTTTTATGTTTTTGAAAGATGTCTCTTCTGATCACTAAGGCTGCGTTTATTTGATCAAAAATACAGTAAGAACAGGGATATTGTGAAATTATTACACTTTAAAAGAACTGTTCTATTTTAAAATGTAATTTATTCCTGTGATGCAAAGCTGAATTTTCAGCATCATTACTATAGTCTTCAGTGTCACATGATCCTTCAGAAATAATTCTGATATGCTGATTTGCCATTCAAGAAACATTTCTTATTATCATGTTCAAAATAGTTGCAAACTGTGATACGTTTTTTCAGAATTGTTTGATGAAAAGGAAGTTCAAAAGAACAGCATTTATGTAAAAAGAAGTCTTGTAACATTATAAGTGTCTTCACTGTCGCCTTTGATCAATTTAATGCATCCTTGCTGTATAAAAAGTATTGTTTTCTTTCAAGAAAAATCATACTGACCTCAAACTTTTGAGTATTTCAAATTTCAATCTGTTTTTAAAGTTGCTCTTCCTGTTTGTCTCTTAGAAAACGGTGCGAGACAAGAATTACAAGGCCCTCCAAGGGAAACTGGAGCGTCTGGAGAAGCTTTGCAGGGCCCTCCAGAGAGAACGCAACGACCTGAACCTAAAACTGCAGGCCCTTCAGGACCCAGCGAAAGATCCGGAGGAAGAAGGTACGGGGCCTCCTGACCCTCAGCCGCAGGTGCTTAACCCAGAGATGGAGAGAGAGGTGGAGGGAGAGATGGAGGGTTTGGTGCCTCAAACAGAGAAACTCAGGCTTCAGCCTGAGGAAGAGGGCACCATATCATCCACACAACTCACTGACGAATGATCCTGGCCTTCTGGTGGCCTTTCTTTTCATTTCTTTTTGTGGAGGTATATATTTTTGTCTTAACTATTATCATAAAAAAAATTAGTGGGGAAAAAGCAGGACATTAGTGAAGACGCTAACTACTCTATACGTTGGTAATCCGCTTTGTGAAAAGCACTTTTTACTCCCTGTTTTCTATCACATTGTATTTTCGTAGGAAATGATCATGTGGTCCAAGACGGCCGCCATGCAGCTTTGTTTCGTACGTTTATTTTCTTTTTCCTTCCCCCTGTTCTCTGCTCAGCTGTGCTGTGCTTGCACGCTTTTACGTTCCTCTTGCATAAAATGTAGCTCTTCGCTCTGACCTCTAGAATCTGAATAAATCATTTTGGATGCGTATAATGTTAAATATTGCCATTTTAAAATAGTCAACAAGCCAGTCCAGCTCTAGATGACCAGATAACCTTGAGACTTGAGAAACGGGGCATTAATAACAGGGGGAGATACATTAACACACTCAACTACTCATTGGCACTTTGAGTCTGAACCAAGACGGGTCCATGACAAGTCACGCTTCTGTTGCTTTGATTGAAATGGACTTTAAAGGAAGATACATGTCTTCTAAATAGGAGAGGGGTCAAGACTCCTCTCCGCCTGGGACTGGTTTTCTAATGGGACTCTGATTAAGGGCTAGTTTGACTTTGAAAAAGGCTGCTACATTTCCAACAATTATGTGAAATCCTAAGACAGGGTCGAAGAGTCTCGCTCCGCTGAAGTTTCAGAACTTTCTACGGGGAGGACTTTTTTTGTTGCATGACAGACGAAGAGAAAGCATCTTAACCAGCAGAAAAAAAAACTCCGCACTTATAATAAAATTCCACATGCATTTATATTTCATTAAAATTCACTTCTCAAGCCCTTTTATTTAAGAGACAGGGTAGTTGTTTTTGTTGAATCTGGGTTTCCAAGCCAGTCAACCGTGGGATTAGATAACTGAAGCTGATAAAACTGTAAAATCAATCTGCTTTTTTACCAAAATCATGTAATTGACTGTCATTAAAAAAAAATTATTTGAATATATTTCCTAATTTACTATGAACTCTCCTTAATATTTTTTAATAAGGAGGACATAAAGTTTGCTATTAGGGTGAGATGACCTTTGTTTGATATGCTTTATTGCCTTGATGATGCTGTTAATTAGTCCTGATGACCGCTTGTTTGTGTGTTTTTTCTCTTCTCTTCTTTAAATGGTATTTCACCCAAATATATCGCTCCATGTCGTTCCAAACCTGCGTGTCTTTTTTTCTTCTGTGGAGCACAAAAGAAGATATCTCAAATAGTTTTTGTCTAAAAAAACAACATTGGACCCCATTGACATTCATAGTATGGACAAATATTTTTAAATACCTTCTATGTCATAGAGGTTTGGAGCAACATGAACCTGAGTAAATTACCATTTTTTTATTTTTGAGGTGAACTATTCCTTTAACTGTAAAAAAATTTTTTTTTTTTTGTTTGGAGAGGTTGCATTATTTTTGCTCTTTAACTGGACACAAAACTGACAAAAAATTTTCAAAGGGGCCTGGACATGTTTGATACTGGATATGCTGAATGTGATTTCTCTTTCTTTTTTTGGACTTTGTAATGAACAAGAATAAAATGTCTGTAATTCAGTGCTAAAATGTTCTGAAGAGCTGCAAACATTCTCAATACTGCTAATGTGAAACCATGTCAAGAACTGAACTGATGAATGTAGAAGCTGCCAAATCCATGTCTAAACAAACGGCCTCAAAGCCTTTAAGATCTGGTCATTATCAGGCTGTGGGGACACAGGGTCTAGAAACGCTTGCCTCCTCAGGTCCATGACAACATCTGGCTCTGTTCATGTCCTGATCTGAACCTCTGACACTGGCCAGTACATTCCTCAATGCTGAATCCAACGAAACACATCCAAGGTTTTCATTTAACACGCACTGAACATGATCATCTACTTTGATTAGTTTTACTAACATTAATCATGTTTTGTAATGACATGTGCAGAAGGACAAGGTTTTGCTGTTCATTAGAAACATGGGCTGAATGTGTTTAAATTAGCCAAACTGTAAAACTCAACAGAATGGAAAGGTAGATCTTCACCAGCTTTTTTCTTTTTCTTTTCCAAATTTTGGATAGCAATGTTGATTTCTATAACATCGCAGCACTTGATTTCCTTGTAACAGTTTCACCACACTGTCAAATATTTTCTTGTCTGCAGAAGTGCACACTTGTTTTGATAAATACATCTGTAATTGGGATCATGTTAATTCTAAATTTGTTGGTACTGTCATTTGTATCGCTACTGCTTTTTTGGCAATGCCCCGGTTTGATTCTCAGGTTATGCAAGAAATCTACCTCTTCAGGTAAGACATACTGTGAAAGATGCTCAAGAGAGCTTTTCTTTCTCCCCTTGCTCAGCCCATGTCCCCTCTGAGATTGTACAACGCTCTTGTAGTTCTGTCTTGCTTTTCAATAAAAACATTTTGTAGAATTTTCCTTACGGTGATGTATCTTGTTTCACTGCATCTTCACATGTCCAGATACAAAAAGTAGTGATGTAGCCGAACATTTTTTTTGAGGGCCGAAAATCATTGTGATGATTTTCACTGCATCTATTTCGTAGAGACAATGTGGATAATCAGGCAAACACATGTCAGCTGTGTGATGGATGATAGTGCTGGATTAACAATATCAATTTCTCGTTTTTAATTGATACTGATATGGATTCTTAAATCTCACAGTAAATCTTTTAGTCTGTGATGTTTTCTGTTGATGCGTTAACTTTACTTAACATTATTTTGTAGTGCCTTCATCGCAATAAGCTTTGTGCTAAGCTTTCAATTTTATTACGAAATACAAACAATAAAACTAGTTTTGTCGCTCTTTAATCTGGCGTCACCGATCGCTGTACTGTTTCAGTTCAAGAGGCAACCATTTATCTTGTCCTCTTTACTACTAGTTATAGCAGGAAATAAACATGAATGAGCATCAGAATGTATGTTGAAAGAAACAGAACAACTTACTGAAATGTATCATGTCTCGTGTAATCGCTCCATGAGTCTTTGACCCATAGAAAGACGTCAATAAAACAGCTTGTAAACTATGTCACATCACGTTTACCTCAGGAAAGACCTTCATTATTTAATGTTTAAATGTCATAAGTTTTTCATTACACCCATTTAAATGTCCATATTTCAACACTAAATTGTAGTAACAATTCTGTTATTAAAAAGTTGACAAAAACTGCAGTTTACATGTTTTTATTTTAGTGTTGATTATTTAATAAATTGGATAATTTAATACCTTTTTCTTTCTTTCAGTTTTTGGCTAAGTGCATCTTGAATTTTTGGTTTCCGATTATCATTTTCAGTGCATCACTAATAAGTACTATTTAAGGAAATTTAAAAACTTTATATAAGAGAAACAGAAAAAAAAATCTAACAGTTGATCTGTACTTTATTTCCAACAACTGAAGTACAGACCGTTATCAACAATTTAGGAATACAAAATCATTTTAAAAGTTATTACAAAAGATTTATTGCAAATTGACACCAGGTTTATGCACAAAAACTAAAACTGTGATAAGCCACACCAGGCTGTAACTTCTCAGAAGTGATTGAAAAAGTGGTGCAGTGTTTCTCCAAACCATCTGAGGCCAAACTTCTAAGGGGTAAACCTTTTAGAAAAGTGTCTACAGAAGGACCCTGTGATGGATAAAGTATCTGGTATTTATGGAGTAGGAAGTAAGAGAATGGAATTTACTGAATAATACTGCAAAGCAAAAGCTAAGGAGTAGGAATTCATGAAAGGGTTGTAGATCTTTAATAAGATCAGTTACGACGCCTGCCCCTCCAGCTCTGACGCAGGGGTGTCTGGCTCTTCATCATTGTAGATGTTCTCAGCCTACACAAGAGAAGTTCAGTCGGAGATTATGACGTTAATACAAAGTCCTAATATCAAATTGAATCAAAAACTACAAATCAATCCACTTTATTAGTGACTTTCATTCCCAAAGGAAGGTAAATCTTTAAAGTGTTGCTGCACTTACCATCTGCCATACTTGCATAATGTTGTCCTCTGACACAGAACAGATTACCCAAGGTTCATTTGGGTTCCAGGTGAAGTCAGAGATCTTAGCTGTGTGCCCACCATGAATGAACTGCCAAAACAATCAAAATGTTCTTACATTAGATGTCAGTTAAAAATATGCCAGAAATATCAGTAGGGATGTTAAGCACTGGAACTTTCTGGAACATAGCATTTCTACATGATCAGTTGAAAGACATTAATACTTTTATTCAGCAAGGACACACGGAAGTGACACTTACATTTATAATATAACAAAATATATTTTTATTTTAAATAAATGTTGTTCTTTTAAACTTGCTATTCATCGAAGAATTCTTTGTAAAAAATATACTACAAATTTACAAAAATATGAAGCAGCAAAACGGTTTTCAACATTGATAATAATAAAAAACATATTTCTTGAGCAGCAAATCAGCATATTAGAGTGATTTCTGAAGGATCATGTGACACTGAAGACCGGAGTAATGATGAAAATTCAGCTTTGCATCACAGGAATAACAGAAAACGGTTATTTTAAATTGTAATAATATTTCAAATTATTACTGTTTTCACTATTTTTTTGATCAAATAAATGCAGCCTTGGTGAGCATAAAAGTCCTCTTAAAAAAAAAAAAAAAATCAATTCACATATATATTAATTGTCATACAAACATTTAACCTTTTAAATAAAATACTTAGCATGTTCTTGCTTTGGTATTGAAATCGTTATTACGAGTCTATAGCTCTGTCTGTCAGATTTTTTTCAGCAAGTCCATCTTTACTCACCAGCAGCTCGGGTGGCCCGTCTTCTGCGTCCTCCGCAGACTGCTCTTCTCCGATTTTACTAGAGGACATACATGTAACAATGCAATCAACATATATGTTTAAGGCATCAGTGGATCTAAATATAGTTAGATGTTAACATTAACATCAGGAATGTGCATTAAGATTTTTTCAGGAATGAAAATCAACAGAATAGAGAGTAATAAAGTCTTACCTTAGATCCCAAACATTGAGGCGTCTGTCTGTGCCACTGGAAGCCAGGATGGTCTCGTTATGGGGAGACCACTGGACCTGTCAAGTGCATCAACATTATTATTGCAATAATCTGTTTGCATTTTTCTTGGATTAAATATTGTTACATTGTCTCAGAATCTTGAGTGTTATTCTTCGAGTGTTACCTGGAAGATTTCATCCTTGTGTGACTCAAAAGAGTGAAGCTTCAGCTTCAGGTTACGCAGATCCCACAATGCAACAGTCTACAGCCACAAACAAACACATCAAACCAGTGAGCGTCAAAACTGAAGCATACTTTGGGCTTTAAGGGGTTCTCTTTCACATGGGGAAGGATCTCCAAATCAAAACTTCTCACAGATGTGTGTGCATATGTGATTATGCAGATCACAGACCTTGTCTGCTGAACCAGAGGCCAGAATGAACTCGCTGTAGGGGTTGAAGGACAGGCAGTTGACTTCAGCCGTGTGGGCATCCACAGAATGACTAGGCTTTGAGGTGTTATTGGATCGTGTGTCCCAGCTGTAGTAGACAGACATTTCAGTGTAATCCATCTTAGTTAAAAGTCTCTCAACATTTAACAAAAAAAAAAAGAAGTCCTATAGACCATATCTGCTTCTCTCGATTTATTAACCTGACACCCATGCGCACATGGCCTCTCCACGTTATGCACAAAGTGCTAATACCAGCTGTAGTAGACAGACATTTCAGTGTAATCCATCTTAGTTAAAAGTCTCTCAACATTTAACAAAAAAAAAAGAAGTCCTATAGACCATATCTGCTTCTCTCGATTTATTAACCTGACACCCATGCGCACATGGCCTCTCCACGTTATGCACAAAGTGCTAATGAGCTGAAACCACTGGCAAACACGCATGCTGGAGTTCAACGGTCTCTATTGAGATATTCTGCTCAAGCGTAATACAGCCGCTGTTTTCTTTCAAGTGGCCGTTTGCGCTGTTTACTGCGACAATCTGTGAGCAAACGAGCACGTTGACGTTCTCTTGATTTGTGCTAATGTGAAAGTGCAATAATTCTGATGAAAAAGTAAATGACTAATCATGATTAATTATTGTGATTAACCGTTTGACCATTATCGTGCCGTATTTCCTTGATTCCTGCACAGCTTACTCACATCATGAGTTTCTGGTCATCAGCCACAGAGCCGAACAGCGATTCATGTAGAAGGTGCCAGGA